TAACCTGAGAAAAGCCATCTAACTTCCTGAAGATAAAGACAAGACCTCTTCTATAAACACAGGTGACAAACTGAATAAAACTCACAAGGTCCACCCCATGTCCAACGTCATGGAGGGTGCGATGGGAGTGCTGGTGCTCTGTACCTGGGGATGGTAGTGGTAGATCTCATTCACAGGACACTCTCACTTGCTACAGACAAGGCTACAAGCGGGGCCAGTTCTCAGATGGGCTCAAGATGGACACATGATGCTTAGTGTTTCTTCACAAACAATTGCAGTATCATGTTGTATTCAGAATTCTTCCTTGAAATATCTAATATTCAGACTCCTGCTGGTAAACAAAAGCAGAAAATTCATACCTTTCAGCCTTGGCCTTCTCATTTAAGCTAATAACATAGAAAGATGTTTGATTATTTTATAGGTGGTAATACTCATTGGATCACTCTATTTATATAGTTTATAATTTTTATGGATTATTTATTTGGTTAATATGATACAAACAACAAACCAACTGCATAACCACTAGAAGGTGACCAATATTAAACTTTCAAGGATATCTCCTGAATAGTTTGTCAGATCATTATAGTTTATTATTTAAAGCCTATCACTTACTATATAGTAGATATAAAATTGAATTAACATCAATATTAGAAGTACTGACCAAACCACCTAAAGTCCTTCTTAGGTAAACATAAGTTCTATACAATAATATATGCCAGGAAAGGGTGAAAGTTCAGTATCTAACTGCAGATCTGTGTATATCTGACAAGATATATTTGTCCTCCCCCAAAATTATTTGACATATTTTTACTTGGGTTAAAATGTGTGACTTTTCTAATACTCCACATCCATAATCATATGGCTACAATGATTAATATGTGTTTGAATTTGCTCTTTCTTTGATTTCTTCAAAATATGCCTTACCCTGATTACTCTCAGTAGTACTAATATTTTTTAGTGGTTTGTATGAAGTAGTAAAGCTTGCAATACTGCCTTTTCATAGGTCAGATCGCTAAGTTGTTGAAGGACAAAGCTAACTGCCCAGTGGAAAAAGTCAGAAAGTGAGCGAGTACTACTCAAAGTGAAGCAGAGCCCTCA